TAAAGTACATTTTCTAGCAATTTTCACCATCGTCTTGGTAGAGCACACATCGTCGATGAAACATTACATTTCGACTCATGGCAGTTTGAACTACAGGTACGAATGACATTTCCTCACTTTTATTCATCCATTCCACGTTTTTTCATAAAAAAAAATTCCCGAAAAATCCAAAAATTCTACCAAATTTCACACTAAGATGATTGCGCGTGTTCGGATGATAATAACGTGACTCTATGCATGCTCGAATCTTCCATAACGATTTCATCACGACTCTCCGTATAAGCCTACTATACACATGAACACAGTAGTACAGTCAGAATCGGTAATATTGCGGTAGAGGATCTTGGTGTCCTCACTGATTGGAGAAAGGGGGCATGTAGTGCGTGTTCGAGTTCGAGACTTCCCCTATGGAGGGCAGTGTGAGAAAATATGCACATGGTCAACTACATGTGTTGATGAAAATATGAAAATTTTGGGGAAATTTTGGGAAATCCATGTTGGTTTCTATACACTTCTCCTCCTCGCATTCATGTGTGAACTTGCATGATTAGTGAGGAAACTCCCGAGCTCAGCTGAGGAAAGCGATTACATATTTTCCAACACCGGTGCAACGAGCTCCCAATACGTAACGCGGGTGATCGGAATATCTCTAGTCGGATCTAAGACTACTGCTAACGTCCCTGAGAACTCCATATTGGATGAGGTTGGATCTGTTCAGTTTGTACATTAGATTTGTTCCGGCTTGTTGTCGTTGTTGCTCCCTCGAGGCCAACATGCTTCCGGGCCATCGTGAACTCCGTACTCGCCAATGTGAGCCGACAAAGCTCCTATCTGTCATAAACTCGGAGAAAGATTTACGCGAGGTGGAGGTAGGCCGACACTCTTCTCACCTTATTTGTCTACTGCGTGCCTTTACTGGAAACATACTCCTTGAAGTGGATCAATTTTTCTCACCTTCAACGATTGCCGGGAAACAATTGTACCAATAACCTATCCTTGATGAACTCTGACAGAATCGAATCGTCGCTGTCCTTTGCAAAGAGGCAATTTTGTATCGGACCGCGGCCGTGTTCAGTCCGAGAGCGACAAGAAGGTCTTCACCGCAGCAGAGCTCATTGAAGCGGGTCTGCAAGAGCCCCCGCCGGCTATGTTTTACGAGCCGGGATCGGAAGAGTTGGCGGAGTTTCTGGGAAATCAAGCAGATGGAACACCGTCTGATAACGTCCCTGGTAATATCTTTGTCGAAGTAGGTTGAGGAGTAGGAAGCGTTATGAATGAATTAATCTGTACTTCGGCGAGAGATGGTATGGTTTCTTTCGCCGTAATCGGTGAGGAACGCATAATCGGCTTAGGTAAACGACACCATTCGAATGAGAGGCAGATCATCACGCCATACTCGGCCGTTGAGGAGATAGACCTATCATCATGGGGAATAAATACAAAGCCGAGAGCACTGCTCATAGGGTGAGTGCGTGTCACCATTGTGTGCTGTGATCGAGCTAGAAACGCTCGTAATGTTCTCGGTGTGAAGTGCTGATGTTATGGTAGGAGTCAATGGGACACAGCAGCCACGTCAGTTGAAGAGCGTTGTCGGCGGCAACCGCGATGGTTGAACCAAGAAGTTGGATCCGCGTAATACTGGTACATCCAGAGGGATGGCTTCTGGTATCATTCTGCCTCAGGACGGTTATAGACGAGGCTGGGCTCGATGAACTTGACATCAGAGGTGAGCTGTAACTACAACGCAATCTAGATCTGGTATTTTCTCAGCGCCGTTCTTACATTACGATGCTACCCAAGACGATCTTGATTTCATTACCACTTGGAATGCCTCTAATGAGCCTTCTATCACTGTCGATGAGCTCCTTATCGCTTTTGATAGCTGGGAGAAGAGAACTCTGGACGTGAGGAATACACATGTGAGTACCGATCTAATGATCTTGGCAGGCGCCTCCGATTGACCAGACTGCTGCTATGCAGTGTCTCGAGAGTAGGGTCATAGGAACTGATTCGGACCTGCCGGCCCCCAAGGTCCTCAATGCACTCTACCAACGCTGGAAGGACGTAGTACCGTCTATGTGTGTGAGGGGTGAACTGCCTTGGGCAGGCCCGGGTTGCCAACGAGGGCAAGCCCTTACTGCGGCAGCTTTGGGCTGTTGGGCAAAAGCACACCGATCCACCGCCTCCCTCTAGGGGCCATCGTAGGTGGCGTTACTGATAATCTTATTTTATGGTGATTGCTAGGTGCTATGTGGATTATTCAGAATCGAATAGCATCTGGTGCGGGAGGCAGTTCAGCTCAGAAAATGAAGTTACGAAGACCCAGACGGAACACGCGTGAACTGATGACTAAGGTAATTCAGCATGGAGTGGTATATGCGGTTTGATGATGGATTTCACTGCCCAGTTGGATTTGGTGGTGGACGACTGGAATAAGATGCGTAATCTTATAAGTCTGGTCAGTGAGCGTGAGGAGCTCAGAAGGTGGCTGAGTGAGGTTAGTGTATCGGCGCAAAGGACGGTTCGAGAGGGCCGCGGGGTAAGTTTGGGACGCAGTGTTGGGGAAAAAGGTTGGCTTTCCTCGGCTGAGTTCAGCAGTTTCCTCACTAGTTATAGAAGTTTTCGAGTAGAAATGTACGAAAATCAACAATAATCTCCTAAAAATTTTCCTCAGAATTTCCATATTGTCACCGACACATGTGAGTGTTGACCATCGCGAGTTCGATTGCGTGTTGTTAGGGCAGCGAGAGAGGCGGCGATTGGGGAATTCTGCGGAATCAGATCAGGGGGTATGGACATTCTGGATGAGAAAGTGTGATGGATTTGCTCTCGGGTGAAGGTACTATGCTACGCACGAGATCGAGCGACAAATTCGGACGAGGACGGAGCATTTCGATGCGATGGACGCACTGCATGGGCGGAAGCGGAAGTCAACGGCAATTACATCCGATACTTCAGTGGGTTGAAAAGGCTTTTGCGAAATTGGAGATCTATGATATCATTTTAGGAGAGCGAAATGTCAACTACGGAGTCACCAGCCCCGACCACGACGGCTCCTAGTAGTAAAAAGGGGGCAGCAGCGCTTGACAGGCTGCCCTCACCTGAGCTCAACCCCAACGTTGATTACATCATTAAGATAAGGCGTCGTATAGGCAGGGACAGGCGAGAATATCTAGACAGGTAATGAGCACACCTGAGATGTACGTCAAAGGCTTCGGAAATGCAACATGCAGTACCATCGAGTAGCATTTAAATTTAAACTATATACCAATTTTTTGGCGACCGTAGTGCTCATCGATCGCGTTCGCTCTGTCTACAGTACGCGCCATCAAAATAATGCGTTTCGTGTCACCAACATAACTAGACGAAAATTTTTGTCGGGAATTTTTTCCGTGACATATTTAGAGAATGTAGTAGTGATAGGAAAGTTTATATACAAAATTTCCGCTGAAAAGTTATGTCGGTGAGACGAAACAAACTCTTGAGATCGAGCGTATTGTAATATTCATTCGTTAATAACGTTAATGTTAATAATGTATTAATAATGTTTATTATGGTTATTGTTATATTTTTTTGTTAATAATGTATTGATAATGTTTATTATGGTCATTGTTATCTTTTTTTCTCAGGGCTATCATCCCTAGGGAGCTCGCTCAAGCCACGGAGCAAAGTGACGGGCCAGTGATAGTCGATCCAGTATCGGGAATGTGAGCGAACTCGAGCCACTATACGACTACGGATGGTTCTTGCAGGCCTTATGATCCAGACCCATCAGTGTTGGGGTATACCCCTCCACCCTGGTTTGGCCCGGGGGTTGGAGCTCCGGGCATGACCGTATGCCCCCCAGGGGCACTAGGGTTGTCCCCGTCCTGTGCGTCCGGAGATCTGCAACGAGTTGTGGATTTCTATAGGGAAATTGACAGGTGAGCGTTGGTGGCATTTGGAGTGGCTTGGATGGTATGGTTTCGTGACAGACCGGAACTGTCTGGACTAGGGAACGCCGAGATGAACACTTCCGCGATTGCATATGATTATCTTGATCGTCTTTATGAAGTGACCAAGCTGAATCATGAGACCGTCTGCGGTGGTACCTTGGGCACGCAGACTGCGGCTGATCTACGGTTGCGCAATACGAGGTGAGGGATGGAGTTTTGGTGGGGTCTATTGGTGATCCTTAGCAACTACCTAAGTGGGGGACATCGCACACAAGAGCTCCTGGCTGAAGAATGTGAGAGGATTCATCAATGGATAACGGACGCTTGGCGTGCATCTCGTATATTGAAAAATAAGGCGCGTATAGGAGAGCCCTTGGGGTGGTCCGGTCGACCACAGAACGCAGCAAATGCACAACCACATTTAACGCAAGGTGGGGGGAAAGTACGTCCGCAAGGACTTAACGTATCACAGCACCAATAGCGATTGCGGTTACAACGCATTCAGTGAATGTGTTCTATTCAAGAGCTATATTATGTACATTATCGTGGTTATGTACTTTTTGAGAAAACCGTTGAAGTTATCGCAAACTACTACTACGAGTGTTGAGTTAGAGTCTGTGGCTTTGGTGGTACGTAGGAGCGATCTGGACAAAGCTCAGTGAATGGTTACCATGTATGGCTCATCATCATCTCCTTTTTCATCATAATATTTCGTTTCCTTCGGAGTCGCCAATAAACGGTAAACGGGAGCTTATGGATTTGTCACTGGATCGAAAACTCACTCGTGGCTTGAAAACGTTGATGGTGGTGGTGATACGGAGCAACAGTATTCAGCACTAGTATATAACCGCCGGAATTGTACAACATGAGTTGATGAGTGAAACAGTATCCTTCTCGGAACGGGGTACTGCTGATGGAAGTGGGATTGTATAATGTCAGTGGCACTTGCTAGGGCGCATGGGAGAGTACTGGGATAGCGTTGGAGCCGTTTGATGGTAGTATTTCAGGTCCATTCACAACTACAATGCATGGAGTGTCGCCGCTGAAGACATGTTTCCACCATAGTAGTCATTGCACTTCGGACACCTGTATGGGGGTGTTGCTCTCAGGAGGTGATTGGAACACTTCATCGTTGGGGTCGCTCACTTGGCCGAAGATGGCGGTATGTATGGCCCTCGCGGGCTTGGCTGGGGGGACGGCAGCTTGCTGTTGTTGTATGCGACGGAGCTCGAGACAGCACGGCGTTCAAGTGGGTTGTCTCTGCGTGCTTTGCTGGGCGTATGAGGCCCATGCGATTCAGTTTAGTGCGTTATAGTACTATATAGTGACATGTGCTTTGTAACTTTACAGATTCATTTTACATCATGAGGATCTCAGTCAGTTCACGTATTGACAGGAACGTATATACGAATGTGTTGGTGATAATATGAAAATTTAGATGAAATTTTGGGAAATTTTCATTGGTTTCTGTGCACGTCAATCTGAATTCGTATGTAAACTTTTATGGTCAGTGTGGCAACTCCCAAGCTCAGCTGAGAAAAGCGAAAATATATTTCAACACTGTTCGTCATCTCATCTGAGCCTTGTCGGAATTCCAATTTTTAATACTACTGAAATAGTAAATTTTCGAATTTACCCCTTAAAAAAATACCTTCCTTAGCCTGGATGATTTCAACTCGTATTCTCGAGTATTTGTGGTAGGCGAGTGAGCATTTACAATTCCTAGCGGCAGAGCAGGGCACAGGAGCATTGCTACTTCCGCCGATACGATCCAGTGGGAGAGCCATGACCTACAGGGCAAGGGCATGGTGAACGGTATAAACTGGTCTTGTCCATTACTAGGTTGTTCGCAATCGTAGTCCGGGTAGTCAGGCCGAAGACCCCGTATAGAGATCATCATCTGTATGCACGGTGACGTAGTGGATCTTCGTTACAGGGCATACAATACACCTTGTGTGTGTATATAGGCGGAGCGAAGCAAAGTTCTCTCTTTATGAGTGTTAAATCCCATGCGAGTGTGAGATCAATGGATGACAATGCAGCATGAAGTGTGCTCTCCCGTAGTTATCAACAGTTACAGTTTTTCACAACTCTGTTGAGTACACTGGACGGTCGTCAGTGTGGGTCTATTGGGAAAGAGCCATGCCGCATCTTGTTGAAGAATGCATTCCCAATGCATTTGGTGTATTCATGTGTAATACCTCTCAGAAATCCTGGAAATGTTAGGGTGCGAAGCACTTACGTCACAAAAATTATGTGTTTGCGTGCTGTTGTGTACACAAATGCTAAATTGGACAAGTGATCATGATTATAAACCATAACGGTAAAATACCCTGCGGAAATTAATGCACTATCCCTATTTCCTATGGCGATATCGATGCCATTAAACTGTGCATTTAGAGTCTCCCAACTCGTTTGTTATATCAGCAGTGCTGATGCATGACTAGTATTGGAATTTACGTTTGCACTCCTCAGCTGAGTTGAGGAGTTTCTTCGCTCATTATACATTCGGTTTCGCGTAAACCACTCGTCTCCTTTGCAAGTCCCGTCCGTCTTACTCCCAGGCTGGCCCGGAACTGCCAGGCCCGCCTCGTGTACGCGTGCGCATTCGTATGACTTGAATGACTTTGTCCTCTTCATCTCCATAAGACCCGTTAAGGCACGGGGCTGGAATCGTAACAGGGAAACTGAGCCGCCGTAGCGATCCGTGACGTAATTCTGTCCATCTATAGGACACACATCTATAACGGTGATAAGTCTTGTGAGGTTCCTCACTAGTATTAAGGTTTCATATCATATCACTGGGATAGAATATCAGTGATATGTGCATATTGTGGTATCTGATTTTGAACACCGATTAGAAAGGACAGGGTATTGCAGCACTTTTTTGAACTACTGACATTTGCACTTACTGCGTTCGTAAGGACTCCTACAGACTTCAATAGTGATCTGGTTCTTCTTGCTTGGTAATGAAAGTTGCAACAATATGCACCCTGGTCCTTCGCAGTGTCGAGGGGTGCCTGGTCGTGAGTGCCCACTTGGCTATTTGCAGCCTTCTATTGTCATCTCTATGTTGACCACCCATGGTGCCTCTATCTGTCTGGGTACCCTGGCCCGGGGATGGCCTGCTGTAGCACGTCTAGCTACTACCACTACTACCCGCAGCATTATCACGGATACTCACGAACGGATGACGGCTATACAAACCATGAAGGTGATCCCCTGTAAAAATGCATTCGCGATTAGTGTATTAGGACCCGGGCGAGCTGCTAGCATACTACGCGAGTCATGCGGATATGGACGCCCGTTCACTGGAGTCGACACTGCGCGCCTTGGGCCGTGCCACCAACCAGAGCCTGGTTCAGAGTGTCATCAACGACGAACGCTTTCACAGGCTGCTTACCTCGATAACTACCAAGCTGGAGGTGGGCCGCGCCGCAGAAATGACTGTGGAAGGATTGTTCTATTTCATAGAGTCTCGATGCGAGATCCATCGCGCGTATGGCTAACGCCCTTGGACTGTTCCCCAGCAGGAGCAGTCCAGAGATGTTGGAGTGCGCACAGACCATATGCGAAGTGGCAGTTAAAAGAACGAACGCATTCAGGTTGGTTCGGTCCATCGGGATGATCGATTACATACTGTTGGTGTTTCAGTCCGTCCTCGTTAGCATCACTTGCGTTGGGCCTGGCAGTGCGAGGAGTGCAGACCCCCAAGTTGGTCGAGTTTGTGAGGATGGAGACTATGAAGAGTTTACAAGTAGGGACGGCTACTGGTTCAAGTAGAGGGCGAATTTCAACCCTCAGGATTTCGATCCGGGCCAGATGTGCAACATTTTGGAGGCTTATCGTCGGTGGAACGTCTTCAATAGAGAGCTGGTCGATAACGTGGTCGAACGAATGACTGATGAAGTCGACAGGTGGGGGGGGGAGACGGAGAATATATGCTCGCCCTCAATCAGCTGAGTTTTTTCAGTAAATTTGGAAATTTACACACTTTTTAGAGGAAAAAAATTGCCAACACACGTAGTTGAGAAAATTTACCTATTTTTCAGGTTAAAAAAGTTTCACATGTGCGAATTCTTTCGTAATTTAGGTTTACTGGTAGGGACGTGGTGCTTGCCCTAAACGTGATGTCCAAATTGGCTTTGGCGAGGTAGTATTACGAGCAGGTTCGCTCGATATGTATTTCTATGGGAGATATGTCATGGATCAACTTTGCATCTTTCTCAGAGGATTCCTCCTGCGCCGACTCACGGGTCTCGCCTTCGACAATCTGCCTCAATTCACCGCCTCGCAACTGGTTCAGATTATGTCTAGTTTGGCCAAGTTACGGTATGCACCTCTACATGGGTGACTCATTCGGTAGTGTCACCATAGGTTCCTCACGACGCCGGCTGCCGACGACATAGTTGATGCTATTGGAAAGAGCAAGCATAACCTGCCTACCACTCAAGTGGCACTTCCTGACCGTCCTCGTGACGTAGTGATCATCACTTAGGTCAGCGAAGTCCTCTTCGCGTTAGCGCTGTCGGGCTATGAGGGCTCAGAGACGACGATGCAAAAGTTCATCACGCAGTACATGAAGGTGATCTCTTACTGCCTACCATTGTAGTAGGTTCTTCCGCTTAGGCATTGGACTCTTCCTATGTGACGCTGTCCTCGCTTACGGACGTAGCCTGGGCCCTGTGCTTTTCCCTTACTGATGATACAAGTAGGCTCGAGGACGGTGTGCTGTTGGTGTGGAACGGCGAATGTATAGGCGCTCTGGCAGAGGTCGTCAGGAGAATCTATGAGATGCCGGCTCCTAAGAGTAGGGCGATACTGTTGAAAATGCACGAGGTGTGGACTGACCTTGTTGTTGTTGGCAGTAGCTTAGCCTTGTCCCGGTGTAGGTGCATAATTCGTTGATTCATGAGTATCCAGGAATAGCCAAGAAGCATCAAGTGCCGACAGCGTGGCTCACCTCGATGGAGGAGAACGACAAGATGGACCAGGATAAGTAGTATTAGTCTTATCAATAGAAAGCATTTTTCGCTCAACAGCTTCACTAGAGTTTGGATGAATGTCTGATCTCCTCAGGAATTTATCAACTACATCACTACAATATGATTATTAGCACATCGTTTGGAGTGGAAGTTCATAATACACATGAAAAATTCCCTCATAATTTCCTTCTTGTCACCAAAGCGCATCCCTTGTGCATGACCTCCCTGACTGCATTTAATGGAGGCCTCTGTTTGTGGAGCCCAAAATGGTCCATTTTAAATGGACGTCACTATCTGGGTATAGTTGCTCATGCCCTTCAGGACCGACTCGTCCCGTCTCCACGCTGAGGTGTTGACCCTCCTTGACAATGTCAAAGGAACCCATGGTGTCCGCTCTCGGCTGTCCGTTGAGAGGAACGTTCCGATTGGTATGGTATGTAATAGCCTGGTCAGTGAAAGCCTTGTTGTATAGGTCCGTATCATGTGGATTTCTTTGATGCGGCTACAGGACTGGTCATCGATATAGACACTCCCAGCAGGCCGACCTCTAGGTGGGCTCGCTCTGTCCAGGGTAGTGGACGTGTTTTGGTATCAGGAAAATGAGGCATCGTCACATCAAGCTGTTGCCTAATACGACGTATAAGACTATGACTATAAACTACTGGTGAGCATGAGGATCCCGGTGTGTCTGTCAGGAGTTGTTGTTGTTGTTGTAGGGATTGGAGACGACATAGTAGGAAAGAGGAGGAACAGATGGGCTATTTGAAGGCTCTAGTGAAGGAGGCTTTAGAAGGCCCGACAACTGAGCAATTGTAGAGGCTATTGATGTTTCGGAGTAATTACGAATCTCATGTTTCTGGTACACACCGTGTTCAATGCGTTAATCTCAGTTTCGGATGGGGCTGGGAATGTTGTATAACACACGTTCAGAATCATCAACCAAATCTGCTATGGGGGACGACGGCCATGACGTGAATGAGCCAGGCAGGCTCACCGCGAATAGAATACTCGCCACACTCTGTATGTCTCATCTTCTTGAGCTTCCTATCTATTTCATGCTGAGGTGCATCCTGCGAATTGTTACGGTTGTATGACATGAGGATTAGCCCTATCTAGCGAGCGATCCTAGTGACACTGACGTGATATGTTTTGATACATTCGCAGGCATGGATCCTGATTGCATGGAATTGGTTGCAAGAAGGCACATTTACCTTTTATCACACCAATTGCGATCAACGCAGAGGAGCATAAGCAAGACACCGAACTTGTGCAGATTCACCAATGACTTGCTGCATCACGAAAGGTGTTCATTGAGAAATTACTCCCCTGCCGACTTCGTCAACCCAAAGCCCGATTGTTACGAGAAACTAGAAGAGTGTCTTGTAACGATGAATAAAACAATGACACACAATCAGCATGACTTGTCGAACTGAGGGTCCTCATCGGGATCAATGGGAGCAATCATCACCACGGCGTTGGGCATAAGACCCATATCCTAAAACCGAATCATCAGGGACCATGGCTACACAATGGAGGCTCACTTTCAGTGTTTTATCGCGTTGGCCGCGAAGTTTGGTCACAGGGAACGCTGTGCTGAGCTCAAAGTATCTTAGAGAGATTAATGGATAGTAAACAGATGAATTCCGAAGGTACCCAAGGCTGTCCTCCTGGTCGACCTCCTCTTCTCCTTGCGCGGAGTCATCAACACAAACATCAGCCCAGTCGTACAAGTCGCCCACAGTGGCATCAGCCAGGAATTTCCGATCAAAACGCTGAAGTCAGATAAGTCATGTGTTAAAACATCCCTGCCGCCTTACCTTCCCGCTTGGCATCTTGAGGACGATATGGGCACTGCTTTCACCGGCTCCTGGCTGTACCATCGCCTCCACTCGTTGCCGCGCTTTGTCCCTCCGCTGCAGTATTCTTTGTGTCCGATCCATCTCCTCCTCAGCCTCCCTCTTGGCCCCTATAGTGTGCATTACCCTCCCACTGGTAATGACCACTACCACTTACTTTCTTCGGCCTCTCTACGGTTTCGCTCCGCCTCTCTATCCTGGGCCAAGGCCTCCTGGTACCTGACACCTCAGCCATCTAGACCCACTACTAGCTGAGCATTACTCCTCATCCTGTTGTTGTCTGAGCTCGCGGTCCATCTGTTGCTGAAGCCTCGTCGCTTCAACTCTACTTCGCATCTAAGCCCATCACATGATAGTCTCCACCTATACATGGGCTGACCTCGTTCTGGTCCTCTACGCATTTCAACAACATCCCCGTAACTTGCTCTACAGAACATGCACTATCGCCTTGCAGTACTCCGCTTACTCTGCAAGGGCATAGTCAAAGGTAGTGATAGTCGACCTACCGTAGTTCCGAATCGGGCTCGACGGCAGTATGCAAACCCGTGGTGGATCCTCCGGGCATCCTGGGCATCAAGGCGCAAAGATAAGGGAAGCTTCGGGCACGCATCACCTGGGAATGTCTGGGTGTAATTTCGTGGCGCGCGACAAATCCTACCCTATATGCTAAAGAATAGCCCTGCATGGTGCTGCAATCAACACCCCAGAAGACAAAGTTCTCGTCCAGTAACTAGGCAAAACAAGAAGCCGTCGTCATCCGTGGTGACACCAGCATTACTTCCCGAACAGTTGAGTCACCCTGAAGGACTTCCGACTTGAACTTCTGCGTCGCCTCTGCGTAATGTGGCCCCGAGTTGTGCAGATAAACGAAGAGAAACTTAGTCGATCGCTGGGCTGTGGTGAGGGCCTGAGGGGAACTCAATTCTCCAAATCCGACCGGCGGGAAGACTAAGTTGAAGCGGTAGTACTTGTGAAAATGTACCCTCAAAAAACCGAGGGTGTGGTCTCGAGTTGGCATCCTTTTCCAACCAGTCGTTGAAGTCGTATACCGCACCTCCACCAAATCCAGATGCGAAGAAGCTCCAGAAGCCCTGTAGACCACAATGCTGAACAACACCAAGTCCTTGACCTACCTTAAAACATGATCCAAGAAAACCAAAGCATTTCTGGAAGAACGAGGCCACGGCTGAGATGAGTGTCCGCCACCACGGCCGTTGGAAGCCTCTAGTAGGGTCCTCTTGCTGGCCACCCAGAAGTGGTGTAGTAAGGGTTGGATCTAAGCCCAATGAGATAGTCCACATCGCAGTCCGTAGAATCATCATAATACCAGTTGGTTGCCTGGCCGGGGCCATGGTCCTCCTTGTAGGGGTGTGGTCCGGTCTGGTATACCCTGTTGCTGTTGCCGGCATGCTACTTGAAGAAGAGCTGCTGACCAACAGCAGTGGTCCCAACATAAGGAAAATCAAAAACCCATATAGTACCTAGGCTGCTGAGCTTCCTCCTCCTCCTCATTGTTGGCCAGATGTAAAGTAACGGCCCTTTCAACATCATAATCACAGACTTCCAGCAACTGCCTGGCCCGGTCGGCCGAGACGTTGGCTATCTCGGCCACCTGCGCCACTGCAGTGTCGTGTTCATTCGCTGCGACCATTAACTTTTCGAAACTACATCATTCCATCACCCATGACGTGACCAACCCGTCCACTTACTTTAAACACAATCTCAACAGGATGGCCCACAACAGAAACGAGAGTACCGGAAATGCTACCGTTGGTAATACGAGGGAATACCAGTAGGACAGACCAGCCATCAGTGTCCATATTCAGTGATAGTGGTAGTAGTGGTTATTTTCAATAAATTACAATGGGAAAAATGGTGAAGTCCAACATCATCATCATCACTCGGCCATCTGATGGGCCTTGGCCTTGAGTTCCTCAGCCTCATGCCGCTGCATCGTGTCCACATCACCCTCGTAATGGGCCAACTTCCAGTTGAGTATAGTATCAGCCAAGCCCTTAGTCAGCTTATTAGCACCTATACAGAGAATGACCACGACGGACCACCTACTACCATCCTTACCGGACCCGAAGACCGAAGCCTGGTAGGCCAGGACCAATTTACTCATCTGTCTGCCAGAGAACCCCTCGGTCCTACGGGCCACCTCATCGAGGTAAGCGGAATCGATGCTTGGGTCGACCTAATGACCGTAGTGGCCCTACCGCACCCCCTTCAACTACTTACCTCAATAACCTTGCCGGCCTTGGTAGGCTGGCGGATGTACTCGTCCATGAACAGATCAAGCATCTGGCGTCGTTGGTCAAACTCGGGTAAGGGGAACTCGAACTGCTCATCCACACGATCGAGGACAGCACGGTCCAGCACCTGCCAGGGACCGATAGAGGCATAGACCACCGCTTCGCTCCGCCGGCCGTCCAATTACCTCTCGGACGTTCGTAGCAAGGACCACCATAAACTTGTCATTCTCAGTACCAGTGTGAGCCAGGAAGGCCGACAACACGTTACGTGTGTCCTCAGACATGTTACCTAGGAAACCACAAACTCCCTTTCTATGTGAGAGGTGATGACACTACTCGAGCTCGACATGCGGCCGCGCCTTAGGAAGGCATCAGCCTCATCTATGAATAGGATGAGGCCCTTCTTGCTGGTGTTGGCCCATGCAAAGAGACGATTCATCTCGTCAACCTGATCGCCACAATAGTAGACCTCCAAGTACTGAGCCAACCTACCGCGTCCTTCCCAAGCGGACCAACATCACCACCGGTCATGATAGCGTAGTCCAGACCCGACTGGCGGGCCAGTGTACGGGCAAAGAGGGTCTTACCAGTGCCTACACAAGGGGGAAGTGCCATCACCGAGGACTACCCTTCTAGACTTACCCGGAGGACCATAAAGCATAAGGTGACGGAAAGGAGTACCATTCTTCTTGGCATTGATAATAGAGTTGGTGGTCCACTGTAGACGTTCGGCCAACTCCTGCTGTAATACGATCTTCTCCAGCATGTTGGTGGTGGCGGGCCGGCCCAAACCTGACCACGAATATGGGATCATCATGACCAGCAGCTTGATCCTCTTACCAAGGGCTCTACTCCACGACTTGCGACTAGTCTCACGGACCAGCGGGGGCTTGCCCAACCTCTTTTCCAAGAGGTTTCCAGCAACCTTGGTGCCGGCCTTAGCGGTGTAGATACCGAGGGCCACTGCGGTCAGACCCGTGACCAAAGCCGTCATCTTGGTTTTATCATCGAGCAACGCTCGGAAACCCGAGCCTGCCCAATAATCATACCACTCCTTTGGATAATCCCGAGTCAATTACCCAGAGAACCCAGTGTGGCATTGATAGTATCCAACTTGGTCTTGCGCTCCTCAGCCGCCTTAGCGCGCATTGATCTCAAATGGACCTATATTAACACATTGACCATTAAGATCTCATGAGCCCGTGGTCCTACATCAACATTCTCACGTTCCTGTTTGATGCGACCATCGGCCTCAGCCTGAGCCCGTGCCACGTCATTGTCCCGCTGTAGCTTCATTTGCTGAACACACAGGCACCGAATCTTCTACCCAGAGTGGAGCAGCTCCCTGAGCACCTCAATCAGCGTTCGACGTCGGGACTCCTCAACTTCGACGTCGTTCTTCTTACGAATTTCTTCTTGCCTATTGGGGATCGGCTCGATGAAAAAAGGCGGAGCGAAGGATGTATGGTACTACCTCAAAAATTGTTGGTGCTGCTGGGCCAACCAGTCCTCGTTCTGCTTCTGTTGGTCAGCTAATTTCTTCTGATAAAGTTCCGACTCCAACTGAGCCTTATACCTGACCAACATCCCCCCCTGAGGCCACCTCAGCCCAGGGCCAACCTACTGTGAGGTCCTCCGTTCCTGGTCCTGTTGCTCAGCGATGGTCTTGCGCTTCTCCTCAGCTTCAACCTGACAATATGGTCCACCCAATAGGCCCACGGTCCTAGTACCTGAGCCCTTTGAAGGCCCATCTGTGTCCGCTGGGTCTGAGCCCTCTCGACTTCGGTTTGGTATTCTTTCTGTTTGCTCTGTTCCTGTAGCTTGATAATCTCAAAAGCCTTGCTAGCGTTGGGCGAGGAATCCAACTCCTTCAAGGCCTTGGCACCTACCATAGACCACTACAGTCAACATCCCATCCATCCCAACGGCTTACCTCTTTCTAAAGCGGTCGGATCGAACTTTCCTGAGATCGCATCAGTGGTGGGGTCGCCACTGCTCGAGGACCCGCTAGAGCCAGCAGCAGCAGCCACTGCAGCTGAGGGCTTCTTACTACCGGATGATGATGGGAAGAACATTTACTACTACTGAACTACCATCAGAAAGACTCCACTGAGAGGTAGTACTCTACCTAAGATGTGGTATAATATTGAACCACTCCAACTGTTCATTGGCTAAGCCAAGCGGACGACAACAGTATTACTGTTACAGTACAGAAGCCTCACTCGCGACGGAGCGCCGGATCCTGTCAGTATACAATCCCAATGGCCCACTAGTACACCATTTCAGAAACACGCTCCCCAACCCTATGACCGAGCATTGCTCGCTGAGTCTGATGGGGTTCCTCATGCCAAATGACTATCGCGCGCGCCATTATGATCGATATCTTTCAAGATCTGTTGCAATACTAATGCAGCATCACCCTTCCCTCGAGCTCATGTCAACTTTGGTTTACCACAAGGAGAGCCTGTACCGACCCCAGCGGACTTCACGCCATCTGCGGCCAAGCGTGAATGGCTGTTGGTCGTCAGGATATGACCACGCGGGAGTATCCGAATGCGGCAGTCCGAACTCAACTGTCTCCTGAGCAAAGCTTATGAAGTTACTACTAATGAGAAACCTTCAAACTATGTAGACCCTCTCATCAACCATGAAAGCCCCGCCAGGCGGGCATGAAAGGGCCGTTATAATAATGGCTGTTGGTCGTCAGGACAAGACCACGCGGGGGTACCCGAGTGCGGCGGTTCAAACTCAAATGTCTCCTAAGCAAGCTTTCTATGAAGTAGTACTACTAATGAGAAACCTTCGAACTACTGAGAGTCTCTCATCAACCATTAAAGCCCCGCCAGGCGTGCATGAATGGGCCGTTATTATAATTTCGTCTCTGAGTAACCATGAGGTGTCTGCCTGTGTGAAACAAAGAAATCCACCCTCAAACGGCACATATTGTTATACTGGGCTGAGGACAGTCTGGAAGCTTTCCTATTCCGACTCTGATGAATTGAACACCTTTCATCACTAATTCGTAGGGAAAGACCTATAGACTCTGACTCATGGTAATTCTTATCCACCAATCTAACGCCCTGTTCCGATCAAGCGCGCTGTAAACGACATTACGTATCATAATCAATGGAACCGAGACGGTACTCCTCAAACAGACTCTTAGCCCTTTTACAGAGGCACTCACAAAGCAAACAATGGTTAGTGCTCGTCAATAGAGAGGGATATTATAACTACTGCGAGAAGCCTTCAGACCCTCGAGGATACTCCTCCGAAAATCCGTCACCATACCTTCTAGGAGCGTTATCGTGTTGTAGTTATAAAGCTAATGCAAGTTGCACGATCTAGTTGGATGAGAATTACTATGGCCAGCAGACACTATTGTGTTTCCAATAGGAACTCTCTGTCATCTCTACGAGTTCGTTGATTCGTTTTTTAACATCAGTACGAAAGACTAATATATAAACCTACTCCGCACAGTGGAGCTCAGTTATATTGGGTAAATACATCATCACTTGCGTATCATTCAAGGTCAAGTAATCCGGAATAATCTTTGCGCATCCACCGCAGCACCCACTATAGCTAAAATCGATCAGAATGGCGTGCGCTTTTAACTGCCAACCCCGCTGTACTCCATCGATCATCCTCTTCTTCAAGAGTGCTTCCAAGCCTATCCGCCATGGATTCCAACCAACCCAAGCTTGCTAAGGTCGAGAAGGTCATCGGACGTACCGGCTCTCGTGGTGGCGTCACTCAGGTAGTACTCGCTGTGCTGGTATTCACACATTTGCTTCACTTGTGAGCGATGGGATCTTGACCGATTCGAGGAGGGTTAATGAGACTATTAGGATGATGATTAATATTTCGCCCCTATCTGAGCTCCTGCAGTGCGGAGAGCATACCACTTATTAGTCTTTTTGACTGACTCAATAGTATCAACCCTCTCCGTTGTTATTCAATGAACTCGCGTGGTAGTCATTGTTGTCTGTTGTAGGTGCGCGTTCAGTTCATGGTCGAGACTGCCCCCGAGCTCGCTGGCCGTTCCCTCGTACGTAACGTCAAGGGCCCCGTCCGTCAGGGCGATATCCTTTCTCTGCTCGAAACTGAACGTGAGGCCCGCAGACTTCGATAAGTTTCGGCTACAACCATTGAGAAGAAGTTACTATTACCACCACTGGATGGGTTCGGAAGATTGATCACTCTTGGTTGAACGGATACATTTAATAGTTGTGTTATTACTATCTAATGGGAAGGGTATTTTCTACTATTTTTCTTACTCTGAGAAACTCGGAAAACTGTGATTTTACAGACAACAGTAAGGACGGCGTGGTTAAGCATGAGTGTCTCCCAAAGGGGAATTAGGGACAAGGATGATGATGATGCTTGCCAATGTTACATGTTGAATGGTCATCTGGTACGTGTAGGATAAGACATAATGTTAATGCTCGATCTATAGCCATTGCTGGATGGCCGATAGCCTCTGGTCCCCACTCGAGTACTGAAAAATGATGATGATCCTGATCTGAGATGCGTCGCTGCTACTACTACACAGGGGGGCTTATAAAGTCGTGTTCGTACTCTAGTTCATCTCGAGCATCATGACTGGTAAATCTTCGGCGTAGTGGCGTGCCTGAGGTGTGCCTGCCGAGATCGATCCAAGGGAATGCTCACGTGAAGTTTGATGAGACCTCGCCGGGCCATAACCTGCCGGGTCACCATCCATACCTAACAGCACCACCCTCTAGCGCAGCTACTGAGCTGATCTGAACACTACTTGTCGGAGGTGGTAGTTTCCTTGTATGTGACGGTTGACTGTTCCCTCGTTGATGGTCGGGATAAGAGTAGCCATTTACTCCACTTATATGCCTATCGCGGCCATAGTAGTCCCTGCGAAGTCCACGCTCAAATCAACGATCGGCTTGGCGGCCTTACTTGTCCATGGACTGTTGTTGTTGTGGTGGTAGGTTGTAGTAGTTGTTCCCGGCCTGAGGTATCCTTGGTAAAACCACAGTAGAAGGGTTCACGGGCTTGGTTTTAGTCATCTTGTTTAGTTTACTAATGTGTAGGATACTGCATGGGGGCCGCCCGTTGATTATCTGAAAATCCTATTCGCGCTAATACCCAAGGTAGAAGCGGAATACTACTACTACTACTACTACTACTACTACTACTACTACTACTACTACTACTACTGCTACTACTACTACCTGTGTACTGGTGTTGCAAACTAAGCGGAGATCTAAATCCGACTGGTGGTTGAGTAAGTCTTTCAACCTCAGATGGAGTAGTTCATGCTCATTGATGAGCTCATGTACGGACGGGGACTAAGTGAAGGACCTTACCACCATGGTCAAATCCATACCACACCTCTTTGAATTTAACACTCTTAACATGTATATCCCTGTCCCTGAGCCTAAGGCAAGCTTGTCGCTCTATTGGACCATCACCCAGAGACACCACGCTGTCCACATCGGCACCTCCGCATTCCCTGAGTAGTGAACATTAGGCAAGCTCTTAGGCAGCCGCACAGACTTAGCAAAAGCATCGAGTTTCCATGTGCTCATGAGGGCACTGACGGGCCTAGCAAAGAGAGGTACACTCTCTACGAAGGGTACTAGGGCGGGCATGAACTGTTGGCAAGAGGCCTCCACCCATCCTGGGGCCGCATTGGTTATTATCATCAACTAAGGAGGAGAAGACTAATGGGCGCTTAGAAGGTCCAAGACCAGCCCCACCTGACCATATTTGGCCGCTATATCTAGTGTAGAGAGTACACTGTCACTGAGGGCGTCAAGGGCTCTCATATGACCTGCTGGAATATGTTCAAATGCTGGTGATGCTTTGGCTTTCCCTTAGTACATGGTTTGAGCCTCATACCACCCGAGTCCAGTTGGTGTTGCCTTTCCAACCAGGTCGTCGGCAGTATAGTGTCATCCCAGTCGAAGACTATTATAGTATTGCTACCATCACTTCTCCTATTCGTCTTATCACGCGACGGTAACTGACCATGAGCATAACACCAGGACCAACCAGTGTAAGCAGTTTTCATTACCTCAGCCGAACCCGACAGCCGTCGCTGTTGACCGGCCTCTGAAGTGGGAGCTGGCCCTTGAAAGGATTGCTGACGTGATGGTGCTGATGTGACCGATTTATGGTACCCACTACTCCCGCCCCATGGCCCGTACTGGGACGGGGGGCTATAGGGCATACAAGCGACACAAGGACAATGCAAACTCCAATGGAACAAACACCATTGTTATCATTGACAACCCGAGTAATACTTCATCCAATAGAAACAGTAGAATTAACGTTTATGAACAGTTCACGTTGGTAGTAGTGGCAAAAGTCTACTTGGATGAACGATGCTTCTTTTTAGACCTTCCCAATAGCTTCATACCATCCGTTTTCAAATCAACACCATCGTCAGGCCCAGTCAGGCCCAGCCTCTTGTCCAAGTTGCTGACCTTAGATTTCGAGATGGCCGGTTTCCTCGACCGCTTCAACTGCTTCTTCCGCTCAATACGGGCGTCCATGAGCTGAGTCATAGCCTTAGTCTTCTTGAATTCTGGATGGGTCGGGTCAATAGCAAAGGCAGTATCATCGTACATCTTGGAGAAACGAGGATCATTCACATTAACCTAAGCCAACACACGACATTTGCCATGCCATACTGGTGTAGAGGGTACATCCATGTCTTTGGCCTTAGCCTCTGGGCCTTCCTCAGATTCCTTATGCCCAGTGATAAGCTCAAGCTCCTCCCTTCGGTGACCGGCCTCAGCCTTAGACGATTTCGCATCCTCCTCCTCTGCGGTCATCTACAACAACACCACCACTGGAGACGGACCAAACCTCCCCTTTCATCCCCGTACTCTAGCCTCGAGCCTCTTCTCTCGCTTCGCCTTATCCTTCTGTCGCCTCTTCTCTAAGTACTGCTCCCAAGGGCTCTTCTTCTCAGCAGCAGCCAATCCAGCATGCCCAAGATGACCGCTTTCCTTCAACGCTGATGCCCTAGCCTCCACCTCCTCCGCAAGAGCTTGAGTCGTGGTATTCACCTTAAACGTCATTTCGCCTGATACAAAACTATTCCTATCTGACACCGTCACCCCCCTCCCCCTACCAGCAGTGGGGTCCTCCTTCTCTGTAGAGGCCGGTGCAGCTTCATCGTCGTCATCACTGAGCTCCCCTCCCAATAACTGTTTCCTATAATCCTCTACATTATCCTCGTTCAAGTCCGAGTCCTCATCAGAGGAAGCAAGGTAACTACCATACCAGTCCCCATCGAAGCCATGGGACTTTCCTACGCATCCAGATCGATCTCAGCGATGTCCTCCGGGGTCAACTTCTTGGACAGGAAGCGCCTCTCGGGAGCGGGCTCATCCCAGGCACACTTGGCACTCGTGTGGGACTGGGCTTGCTGGTTGTCGCCTGATCAAAGACGGTGCTGCTCTTGACGAGAGGCCCGATCAAGGTAAAATGGATATCCATTCGATCGACCACGCATGGTACTGGTCCTACGAGGATTCCGAGGAAGTCCTTGTTGGTTTTCTGTACACTACTTAGTCGTATATAAAATGTTGAGAAAACCAGGCATATTCAAACACTAGACACCATTCCCCATCCTTACTGCTGCCCTTCTGGTACTTCTTGGGCATCTCAGTGCAAGTACTCGTAGGGGCGTGAGGGAATTCTTCCAGTTCATCCGGAACAAATCTCAAGTCCATCATCATCGAGCAGAAGGAAGCTCCGATACCATCCAGCTCTACAAAGAGTAAACCTCTTCCTCCTCCCTACACCCACTCAATAGTTCGTCACCATTATATACGAGCTCTCCAGTATCCACACTATCAAACTCCGCAATAGCATAGTAGTACTTCGTTCTCTGACGTTGGTACCTACGACGAGGCTCTACCACCTCCTCGTACAGGAGCAATACTTCCGCAATGCAAGCTGTGCTAAATGGGCCTTCGGGTCGGCAACTTCCTTTGCCTTCTTGAGCCTCTCCTCCTCCATATCAGGTTCCTTATCGGTATCACTGGCACTAGACTCACCCGCGTCCAGCTGAGCATTGATGATGCACCCCCGTGGTAGTAGCCATAGAGGCCCTACCTCCTCTATGTCGGAGTCTAGCACAGGTCCTCGGACCTTCTCAACCTTTAATCGCTTCAAACCGTAATCAGACGGGAATATCTATGGATATGCGAAATCGATCAAAGATTCATTTCCAGCCCGCTTTGGTACTACCCTAACGCGCTCAACTTTCCGAGACGCGCCCCCAGCGACATTCTTCTGAGTTGAGTCTAGGAAGGTCTGGAACATTACGAAGATATCCTGAGCCTCTACTTCATCCCAGTTCAGCCCAAGGACCTGGGAGATGATGTATGTGGACAGGAGATGGCCGCATCAGCCTACTGCTAATCGGCGACTGGCATCCCCCTGGGCCTCCTTGGTGTCATCCTCGTCCCCATAGGACCATACGTTAGCTTTTTGCGCTTCTTCGCTGAGAGATGGTATAATCTTATGACCACGTCGTGATCCACATTCCTACTTGTATTTATTCCATTCAACTTCACTGGCGGCTTCCTCATCGGAACCTGTTGGAAACAATCCCTCCCTGAATTTCGTGGCGCGTGAAGGTGCTCCATAACTACGACAGAGCCCCCTTAACCGTTTTCTCCAGTATACTACTAGAATCATCATCACTATCACTGGAGACTTCGTTCCACACAAAGCCACTGCCCGTAACGCCCCGTCTCCTCTCATCCTCCTCATCGGCGTCCCTGTCACCAATCTCCTTGTCCGTAGCGTAGAATCGCTTCATATCACCTCCGGCCGAGAACTGCAACAACAACAACCACAGCATTTATAGCGACTACTCCACTGCGACTATTGTTGCAGTCACCACCTCTACACCTACTACCTTCTTATCCGTCAACACTTTCGAGAAGCGATCATCCAGTTGGACCTTTCGTACGGCCATAGGGACCTTATTGAACCGCGCGGTATCCATCACGAATCTGTCAGAGGTTCCTCATTACATTTTGAGGCCCTACCCGTCACTACCTCTCATCCTTATCCTCATCAGCTGCCTTTGACGTCGCCGTCTTCACGACACTACTATTGCTTTTCGGGCCCTCACTAGCCCTACGGTCAGCAATGCCCTTGCCCTTCTTAGGGTTGGACTTCTTGTTGGCTGGAGCCATCACGGTAAGACACCGGAAAAAGTGGTAAACTATTCCACTCTCATCATAGAATAATCGCGCGCGCCAATCTAATCGATTATCAGCGCAGTTTGATTTAGTAACGGCAATCCTTCGCTTCACCATCAGCACCATGTCATTCGATGCCGCTCGAATGGTAAAGGACTTCGAGAAGACCTCTAGTGATGTTTCTGGTAGGGACTAGCTTGTCTCGGCCTATACATTTTCCTCTACTTCTCTGCGCGCGACAAATGAGGTTAATCCCCCATCGCAACGGGACTTTGCTGATCTGAATAGTCTCGCTTCAACTCTTGATATCAGTTGTTAATTGTCTCAGTGATCAAGCAGAAGCTGAACGGTATCCACGGCAAGCTGAACACGATGAAGACGAATATCGAAACGGCCTCGAAGCGGACCTCATCTGTATCCGACAGTGAGGACCCTAAGATACTACCACAATCACATCGATTTCTATCAGAGCAACGAATATCACATATCCAGGATATTATTAGGAAGCATTTGAAGGCCGTGACAGATGCAACTCCTGCTGCCGAGACCGCTGGTAAGGGCCTGTAGTCAGCACTGCTCTTCGGGGCCCCTGTTCTTTCAGCGATGTTGATTCAGGGAAAGATCCCAAGAGTTGAGACGAGGTTCGCCTTGGCCTCTAGAGGAGAACACTATATAAGACTTCGACGACGAGGGCGATGATATCTTCCTATGTGTATACATGAACATCCTTTATGTTGTTGGTCTTCACTATTAGCCTTCTCGTGTTGTCAATGACTCTAGATATAGAAGTTCCCAGTAACGGCTAAGCACCTCTGTGCTGTGGTATAGCCCGTCTTCCTTAGGGCTCAAAGGAGTACCCAAACGTACCGATGCTACAAGTTGTAGCCTACAACCAACACATCCTCCGAGGAACGTGGAGGGCAGCTATAATGAGGCTAAAGGATCTCTGAAGTATTCGGCCGGCTAAGACAAGGGTTGGTACTACTGACCCCGATCCCCCACTGAGGACGGCAGCCATCCCGTCCCCTCCTCAAGCGCGGCATGAGGGCTTATCCAGGTGTACCGGACGATCACATGGAGAGCCTCTGAGAACTACTTTGGGGGAAAATATCGTGGCTGTGGTTCTGGTATAAAATTCAGCCGACCTCAGCGTTCGAGGCCCTCTCTAGGTGGTAGCGGGCCGTGTTACATGAGAGCGAATGAAGAAGCCCATAAGAGCAATGGCGTATTCCATCCAGTTGACCGAATCGTCCACACTGAACTGACTGTGAATAAGGAGACGAAGTGATCGTGAAGTGCAGCTATGTAGAAGATGAAGGTATATACTTGTTGTGGATAGAAGTAGTAGGTTTATGAATACAACTTACACATCCAAAACCTTATATATACCTGCTCTAGCGTCACGCTGAAGTGGCACAGCTAAAACAAAATTCAGAGACAGATAGTTGTGATACAGGGATAATCACTATACTATCTTATATACTAACTGTTCCCATGGAGCTCAGGGTGAGGGACGGGCGAGGAGGAGGAGAAGGTCTCTCATAAATGAGAGTCTCATTTAGTGACAGGATCGGCCTGATGGCCGACGAGTGGGCCCAAGGAGCTGCTAGAATGGCCCTAGGATGGGTATAGGCAGCTCGGATACGATACTGTAGAGATGAACAGGTTATTTCGCACAGTGTGGACTGTTGGGAGTATGTAAGACGGAGAGACGAGCAGCCAGCATCAATTTAACCTGCCCATGAACCTCCGAGCAGCCCTCTATCCCGATAGGCACGACTGGCAATATCCGAGGAATGAGGAAGTAATAACCCACGCAGTGCTGACCTTTCCTATGCATTAACTTGTTTCAAAAAGCGTTCAACAGTAAGAATCAGAACTCCGGACCTCGGTGGGATGTCAGCAGATTAGAGGCGCCATTGAATACATTCCTAGTCGAGTCGATAATTTCTAATAGGAGATTTATATTCCTCCTCCGCCTCCTCGACCAGTGCAATACTATAGGTTGATGGCAACAACATAGTTGAATCATACTTCATAGCAAACACGAGTCAGTCAGCTTCACAATGAAACACACAAAATTGGAATAGTGACATTTTGAGAAATACCACAACTGCATAGTGAACAACAGCGGCGGCAGCAGTCTTGTCATCATCGTTTTCGTTGTTGTCAACGTATACTTTTGGGCTAGTCCGAAAATATCCAACTCGGGTATAATGAAGGGAACGAATAATAATAATAAAAGGCCATTGAGGCCTAATTCTCGTTATCCAAATTATTGATAGAAACGAGTCTTACGGCCAGCAGTGGAGTTCAAGGAGCTGCCCGAATACCGGCTAGAGGAAACCCGCGTCGAAGCTGAGGCTTCGCACGCCATGTCAACCAGCGCTCTCACAGTACGGCGCTTCGAATTCATTCGGGCTCCGACTCGATCGTACAAGTGTTCGAGTTGGTGCCTATCACGGGACCGACGGCCGTCAAGTAGAGCAGGTAGTTGCTGGGCATAAAAGTCCACAAATGTA